CCTGCTTTTTCATCTCTGACCCCTTCTGAGAAAGAGCCGGGGAATGTCTATTCTTGACAGAACTCCCTTCCCCATCGTAAGTGAAAAAGCCACCCAGTAAGAAAACCAGAAGATGGAGCCCTTTCTACGGAGCCTCTGTCAGTTTAAAGTTGATCTGTCCTACTTAGGAATAATCTCCTCTCAGCTTTTCCTTCTGATACCTGTGGTGATTTCAAATTAGGGTGGATCAAGTCATTCAGAAACCGTACACTCCTCGTCCAGGGACCAGTGAGGTGGAACTGAAGAGCGAGGGAAAAGGTCCAGGTTATTTTGAGGAAACTTGGGGCTAAAAGATCCAGGGCTGCTTAGAGCTGCAGAATTTCCCTGGAGAAACTTCTGGCAAGTGTTGCACCATGGGTAAGACCAAATAGCTAAGGCAATGTGACTCATCTGCATGGCCAAGAAGAAATGTGTTTCACAGGAGATAAACTCAGTGCCAGAACCATCCACAGTGGGGAAAAAAAAAAAAAGAATCAAAATGTGTAGTTAATGACTTTGTGTATAACTGCCCATGTTGAAAATACAGAAAGAAAAGCTTCAGAAAAGGAAGTAAAAAATCATTCTCATTAACAATAATAGTGAATACTAGCTTTTTTAAATGATCAGTTGCAGAACTTCAGAGATGTAGTGCAGAATCTTGTAGGTAGAGATACTTGAGGAAAGTGTGTGTGTTTATATTCCAATTTATTTCAAAAAATCTGTTTTTATCATACAGCTTAAACTTCAACAAATGCAAACTATTGAGTCCAATGATGAACTCATTCCTTCCAAGCTTTCCTCATCCATTTTAGACACCGATGGCTGTCACCACACTGTGATTCCAGAACATTGTGAAAATTCTGCGGAAACCGCATAGGCATTGAAGTCACACAGACTTGCATTCAAATGCTAGCTCCTTGATTTACTTGATATATGACCTGAGATCAATTACTCAGCATCTAGCAACCTCAGGTTATCAGCTAAAATCACTAGCGGGAAATTAGAATATCCATTTCTCAGAGAAGTTGGGAGTGCCAAATCAGAAAATATCACTCAAACCACATACCTCAGTTTCTTTCAGGTAGTAAGATACAATAAATATTTACTTCATTAATACTTTATGGTGGGACAGATACCCTAGAAACAGTGGCAGTAGCCTGCGTATTCTTGGTAAGAATAAGTATTCAGAACATTCATCTGTTACTAGACTTTATGATACCTTTTGTTGTTACTCAAAGAGCAGAGTACTCCCAAGACAAATGAACTTCCTTAATGGCTGTTACCATAGTTACTCCCTATTTTTATCTTAGAAAGTGATACCAAAGGGGAGACGGGAAGTACTGGGAAGGAAAGGGTGTGGTCCCTTTAAATGATATGGAAGTGAGGAAGGGCATGGTCCCTGTCTAGGGCTCCACCCTAGGGCCTGTGCCCAGGGACCTAGGTGAAGACAGGCGTTTTTATTTTCCTGCCCAAATGTTGCATTTCCCAAGACCATACTGGCCACGCCCACATCCTATGCCTATAAAACCCCTGAGACTCTAGCAGGCAGAGACACAAGTGGCTGGACATTGAGAGGAACACATTGGCAGAAGAAGACACAATTGGCTGGACACTGAGAATATGTCGAGAGGAGCATGCTGGTGGAAGAGCACAGGACAGATGCTGGCACGCAGGCAGGCCATCCACTGGTGGAATGAAGGCAAAGTTTGGCAAAGGCAGTTGGAGGAGAACCCTGGCTGCTGAGCAGCCTGATCCACTCCATCTTCTAGCTTCCCTCATCTGCTGAGAGCCTCCTCCACTCAATAAAACTGTGAACTTATTCTCCAAGCCCAGGTGTGATCTGATTCTTCTGGAACACCGAGGCAAGAACCCAGGATACAGAAAGCCCTCTGTCCTTGTGACAATGTAGAGGGTCTAATTGAGCTGGTTAACACAAGCTGCCTATGGACGACTAAACTAAGAGAGCACCCTGTAACACACGCCCACTGGGGCTTCAAGTGTAAACATTCACGTCTAGACACTGCTGTGGGGTCAGAGCCCCACAACCTGCCTGTATGCTCCCCTAGAGGTTTGAGCAGTAGGACACAGAAGAAGCAAGACACACCCCCATCGCATGGCCCGTGAGGGTACAAGGGAACTTTTCTGTTTTCAAAAGGACCTTTCACATAGCAGAAAGTCAATAAATATTTGTAGAATGAATTAATTAAAAACTAATGAGCATTAATCCTTAATTAATAAGGTGTTGTTATTGTATTTCCCTATACCCCACAGAGGAGGGGGGAAAAACAGCTATGACAAGCTAAAATTGGAATATAAGGGAATTTAATTGTGCATGAGCATGTACATTTAATTCCACAGATATATTCTGGGATAAAGACTCAATAGAATACACATTTCTTATTTATTCTTTATCTATACCTTCAATCCTAGATCATAAGATTCCTCAGAAAGATGGCTCTTAGACAGGATATTCCACCATTATATATAAACAATTGCACATATTTGTTGGTGCAGGAGGACATTTCTGTAGGTACTCAGACATCTGAGTTCTTGTCCGTCATCTAGCTATGTGAACTTGGGGCAAGTTGGTTCCCTTTTTTGAGCCCGTTTCTGGATATAATTAAAAGATTGGGTTTGACAATCTATAGATTTTTGCCAGTTCTAAAATACTTTTAATTATGTGGCTAGGAATTTGGTTATGACCCTTTGGAAATAGTCGTGAATGCCTCGGTGTTAGTACTTGAAAACATACAGATGATTATATATCTATGTATTTGTGTGTTTCACTAGACCATGAACTTCTTCAGGCCATGGCTTACTACCTAGAACAGAGTGTGCAAAAATTAACTGAAAATTATTAATTCTACTGTTCAGATATATTAATAGAGTTCCCAAGTTTGAATTGTGATTTAGTCTATATTTTTTTCAAAAAATGAGAACTAATGCTAATGACAATTTTCAAATGGTCTTATATTGTACAACTTTAAGTACAGTTCAGGTAAATGTAGTGACCCAGAGGGTTAAAATGAAGTGATTAAAATGGCTTTGTCTGCCATTTTTCAAAGGGTATAGGTGTACAATCCTATAAGCCATTCCTTCCTTCTTCACGTTGGGTGATGAGCAGGACATGTGCCTCAGACTTTGAACTTGCTTCAGTCACCATTTTTATCTACGGCTTGACTGAAGATACAGTGGACAGCTCATTGCATGCACAGGTGACAGAGATCTGGAAGGGAGAACCCTTGTAGTTTCACACTGAATCATAATCCAAAAAGAATTTAACAAGGTTCCTATGATAAGACAACTTGTCTCATAAAATACAGTAAACAAAGAAGAACACACTACCCAGATTTCTAAAAAAACCAAATGTGTTACACAGATTCAGGGCTTAGTGGTTACAAATCTAAAACATCTTAAGGGTTTTAAAATAAAAATAGTGGTAATTATCACAATAACAGCCATCATTTGTTGGTGATAGTAGATCTCCCTTATCTATGTTTCTCCTTTGTTGTGGTTTTAGTTACCTGAGGTCAAGTGCAGTCCAAAAATAATAAATAAAAAACTCCAGAAATCTACAATTTGTAAGTTTTAGATTGTAAGTTATTTTAAGCAGCATGAAGAAATCTCCCACTGCCCTGCTCCTTCCCACCTTGGACACAAATCATCCCTTTGTTCAGCATTTCCATATCGTGTATGCTACCCATCCACCCATTAGTCAACAACATTGTCTGCTCCTGACATCCAGCTATCGACATCTACATGGATTAAGGACTCAGAACCACCTCAAGCACATGATTTTCCTTCTGATGTATTGTCAGAAGGTCAATAGTAGCCTATAGCTACATCACAGTGCCTGTGCCATTCATCTCACTTCAACTTAACATGTAGGCACAAAAAGTGTGAGTATGATGTTTAGAGAAAGACCAATTTTACCTAAGTTTTGTGAAAGTATATTATTACAGTTGTTCTATTACTATTGTTAATCTCTCACTGTGCCTAGTTTACATATTAAATGTGATCGTGGGTATGTATGTATAGGAAGAAACACAGCATATATAGGATTCTGTACTACCCATGGTTTCAAGCATCCACTGGGAATCTTACAGTGCATCCCACATGAATAAGTGGGGATGACTGTGTTTACTCTGTGCCAGGAACTGTGTTAGATGTTACATCTCTGAGTTTCAAGGCCAACACCTTTTCAGTGTACCATGTTGAAAGTTTACTTAAGACAACCGATGATAGGACTCTTACAATGTTACATGATTTTAAAAAGAATTAAGATAGCTAGGCAGGCGGAATCCCATGTTTTGTGCTAGTGAAACTTAGTTGAAATCGTGTTCAAATTTAGATTCCTTAATTTCATACGTACAGTGTGTGCTCCAGGGGAAAGTGAGGGACCTAGTAACCTTATTTCCCAAGGATTACCTGGGGAAAAAAGTGAATAATAATCTGGATTACTAGAGAGGGGAAATGATGGCTGTTATTAGAAACTGAAAAGGCTATCCTGTGACTGTTGTATGAGGTCTATTTTATCTAGATCCTGAAGAAAGAAGCAGGGTGTAGAGTGAAAGGAACATAAGTGGATTTTAGCTTAACAGAGGAAAAAAAAATACTGATAGTGAGTTCTGTCCTAATACTGCCAAATGAATGAGAGTCCCATTGTTAACGGTGTGCAGGGATAAGTTGGACATTCACTGATAGAAAAGGAAGACTGGAACTGATGATTGAAGAGTTGATTCAAGGTCAGTTTCAAAATAGTAATTGTATTATTCTCTGATTATATATTGATAGAGACTGCTTTAGAGTTTGCAATCAAAACCTTTTCTGATTTAGCTGAAACTACTCCATTAAAAATCTGCTAGATGTTTTATAAATACTCGTATAATCCCTGCCCTCTAAGATAGTATAACAAAGATATTTCCGCAAGTTTCTTGCTTTCAATCCTCTCACTTATCATAAAATTTTTTTCTTTTTTAATTTAATTTTTTTAATGCTTCGTGAATTTGCATGTCATCTTTGTGCGGGAGCCATGCCAATCTTCTCGGTATCATTCCAATTTTAGTATATGTGCTGCCAAAGGGAGCACTATTTCTCATAGTGAGTCTAAGACATAGGCTCTACGGTTTTGCATTACTAGATGGTAAAACTAACCCAAAGAAGTTAAGCAATATATCTAACAATATACTGTTAATTCTCAGTAGTACTATGATGCAAACATAACTGATTAACAGTTCTAAACAAAGCATCTTCCTCCACATTTTCATAAAGATGCACAAATTAGAGTAATTTTAAAAAGACCTTCATTTTTGTAGTTTTTAGTAATTAAATTCTGTTTTTTGTGACTTTTACAATAAAAAAGGCATGTCGTGAGAAATTTAGAAAATGTAGTAAAATTTAAAATTATAAAAAGAATAATACCCTCTATAACTCTACCATCTGTAAAATTACTTCAACTATTATAGTGCATAATTTTGTGAGGTTTTTCATACATATATTTCATGAAATATATAAATATATAATCAAAAATAAATATTACATGTAAATATACATACATGCAAATATATACATATATAATTTTGAAGATAAATAGGACCACCTACTCTGTGTTATTCTTTCCTTTTTATGGGAAATACAGTTTTGTGAGTATATTCTAATATCACTAAACATTTTTCTTTTTAAGATTATTGTTCTCACTGTACTGCGTGCAATACATTTTTATTTTCTCAACACATCCAACTGAATATTGTATTTTTTAACAGTGTAAGGAGGTATTTTTTAAATTGCGTATATGTAACATTAGCCAAAATTATTTAAAGTCAATAAATTTGTATTCAAGGACTTCTATGTTGTGATGAATATTTTATTTTATAAAGCAGTTGTAGGTACTGTAGTTGATTCTTCATGATACAAGAAGGCCCTGAGACTATTCTGTAAAACATATATGTTCTTTAATTTTCTTTTGTAAAAACGTTTTTGTCTGTTTGTTTTAAATTTTAATAGCTTTAGCTGTACAAGTGGCTCTTGGTTACAGTGAATGCACTGTGCAATGGTGAAGTCTAGGCTTTTAATGTACCTGTCACTAGAGTAGTACGCATTGTATCCAACAGGAATTTTTTTGTCCCTCACCCCCTTCCAGCCCTCCCCTCTTCTGCATCTCAATGTCCCTTATACCTCTCTGTATGCCTTTGTGTACTTATACCTTAGCTCCCACTTATAAGTGAGAGAAAGTGATACTTGTTTTTCCATTCCTAAGTTACTTTACTTACAATAATGACCTCCACTTCCATCCAAGTTGCTGCAAAACATATTATTTCATTAATTTGTATGTATTTAATAGTATTCCACGGTGTGTATATGTATGGTATACGGCATATGGAGTATACACCATGTACTTGCATGCAGTGTGGTTAGAGCAATAATTAAACCAATATTTAGTGATATTAGACTATACTGAATGAGGTCTATATGCCTTATTTCCTTTATCCACTCATCAGTTGATGAGTGCTTTGGTTGATTCCTTATCTTTGCTAATGTGAATTGTGCTGTGATGTATACACACATACTAGTATTCTTTTTATATGATAAATTATTTTCCTTTGTATAGATACTCCGTAGTGAGATTTCAGGATAACATAGTAAATGTACTTTTAGTTCTTTGAGAAGTATTCCTGCTGTTTTCCTGAGAGGTTTTACTAATTTACATTCCCCGCACCAGTGTATTCTCTTTTCACCACATCTGCGCCAACATCTATTATTTTTTGACTTTCTAATAAAAGCCATTCTAGGTATGATAAGAAGGTGTCTCATTGAGGTTTTAATTTGCATTTCCCTGATAAAATGTCACTAAATTATTTTTCTAAAGCATACACTTTATTTGTTTCAGCCTAAAGATAGCCTAAGAAAACATAAAGTTCTGTTTTTATTGACATGCTTAGAAGAATTGTTTCCCTGAAATATTGAGACTTGTCGTCAGTCACTTTAAAGAGGTGAAAGGAATTTTTTGCTTCGTCTGCCCTCAGGACTGAAGATAGATTAGGGGTAGCTGAAAGCAGCCTCTGGTTTCCCATCACTCATGCCTGCTTGATCTAGCCCCCATCCAGCACTAACCTCAGTCACCTACTCCTCTGTTAGCACTTTGGCCTCATTCTCTCTCTTGAGCGTGCCAAATGTATTCCAGGCCTAGATCTGAACACATGGCATTCACATGGCTTAAAAAGCTTTTCCTAAATATTCATTTGTATCTCTGTTTCAACATCACCTGCTGAAAGAGGTCTTCCTGACTCCCTTAGCCCCAGAAACCCTGCCCTCCCTTTCTTCTTTTCCGTCAACCTACCTTGACTCTGCTTTATGTTTCTGTATACCACTTCATTAGCTACAGTCATGTCATATAAGTATTTGTTCCTTGGTATTTTCGTTCTCATTTATTAAATACAGGGGAACTACAATGCTTCTCTCTAATCAGTAGCAACCTAGAATAGTGCTTGGCATAGAGTGAGTAGCCTACATATGCTTATTGCCTGAATGAATAAGTGAGCAGCTTGAAAGGCATGCCTGGGAAAAAGATTCCATTTTATTTTTACTAAGTTGGGAAGTCAGGGAGGATGTTGTGCTCTTTCCTAGTTTTTCTTTGTCGATGATCTAAGTAAGAGAGATTATTTAAGAGGCTGAACCTGAACATAAAGGTGGATTTATTCTTCAATATTGGAGTTTATGTGGGAAGAACAAAATCCAGCAGTTGTCCTGAAGGAAAGCTAGGAAGAAAAGACCAGCTTGTCAATATGATTGGGCTAGACAGAGAGTGGGAGGATGAGACAGAGTCAAACGGGATTTTTTTTTAAAATGAAAAGAGTCGTTTCTCAGTGGCACCTGGTAGATAAATAAACCTTGGCAAACTGACAAGACCAGATACAGGTATTAACATTGACTTTCTATATTCGTGAGTGGAAAGTAGGTATACTTAAAGGGCCCAGAATAAGTGGAATGCTCTTATTTTTATCAGAAGAGTAATGATAAGCTCATTAATTGTCTATGTGGACAGGTGATACAAGCCTCAGAAGTATTCTTTTGGCTTGCAGTTTTAAGATCCCATAAAAGAAAATGCAATCAAATTGTGATTTTTTTTTTTTTTTTTTTTTGGAGAAGGGAGTTATCCATCAGCATTAGAGTCTTGATAAGGCTATATAGATTTCCTAAGAAAGACACTTCTTCAAAGGTGATAACATAGTTATCTCTCTGTCATGCAGTGTAATTGATAGCACTATTCAAAATTAATAGACTTTGGTGTGTAGTAAATTAATGCACAGCATGCTCAGAGCAGAAAGCTTACCACTTCTGGGGTGTTTAACCCACATCTAGAAATCTAGTAACATAAAAAGTGAGGGACGGGCGAGAGCTCATGTCTGAGGATACGGCAAACACTGACAAGTTTTACAACATGGTCATAAAATCAGACTTAACAACCCCACAGTCCTGCAAGTGAGACAGAAAGGTGTTCAAAGGAAACCTGTGCTTGTGATACGCATTATCCCTCCTATTTATTTTCTTACCATGAGCTTACAGTTCCCATTGGTGGCTCTGCCTGAGCTCTTATAAATATGATAACATAGAGTACTGAGGAAGTATTACATTAATGGGGGATTTCTATTAGTCTTCTGTGACCTACATTAATATAGGAACATTTTAATAGACACCATCATAATGAGAACAAACCTACTAGCATATGTAGTCAGAAGGAATGATCTTGTTTTAGCTAGAATGGGAAGGAAATGAGAGTAAAGTAAAGAGAATCAAATCAAGAAAAAGCATAAAAATGAATGAAAATAGGGGCCAGACAGGCTGGCACTCTTAGAGAAACTAATGTAGAAGCAGCAGTTTATCTTGTTTCTTGTGAGAACTAGACTGGAAAGTTGGGGGGAAGTGCCCATCTATGTTGCCACAGAAGAGTTCACCCAAGAGGTAAAATTGATTTTTGTCCTTATTCTCGATGTTCTAGCAGATAGATCAAGGCCTTTGGAGGCTAGAAATCTTGATTAAGATTATGGCCCTTTTGTTTGTTTTATGTATGATGTTTGGACTGTTATTTAAACTCCTGGGGTATTGGTCTCTTAATCCATATAATGAAGGCAAGCAAACCAATTTGTAGCGTTATGATGATGAAGAAATCGGATTAGACATGTTAAGGACCAAGCACAATGCTTGGAACAGGGCTGTCATTTACGATGTACTGTTTGTGCCCTGCACAGTCACTAAAGGGCACCATTTGCATCTGTAGGACAAATTGTAAGCACTCTCTCATGGCATGCCCATACTTTTCATCCTCATTGAATACCGTCTCTCAAGGTGTCTACTTTGAGAGTGTAAAATCAAGATGATTTGTCATTACCTTCTCAAACACATTCTAGCAATAGCAGTGATGAGAAAGACAGGACAGGGAAGACTTCTGAGTTAATGGCATGTATCATTCTTTCTATCTAAAATATGGCTCTTACCTCTTATATTCAGACTTTTTGTGCCTTTTTGGGAAGTGTTCCCTGATGCTTTACATGTCTTTTTTTTCTTTTTTCTTTTTTTTTAAATCTCAAGCTAGATTAGATCCCTCTCTTCCAGGTTCCTATGACCTTCTGCATTGATCTCATAGGCTAACTCTCTCAGGGTACATTCCACGTTGTATCATAAGTGTTCTTTTTTATTATTCGATCACAATACTGTGAACTCTTCGAACTTCTTACTTATCCCTGTATGTTTAGTTCCTGATTCAATGTCTGGCACAGTTACTGCTCAGCAGGTGCTTGTTAAATAAATGAGCACACAAAGTATCATGTGCAAATACATTGCAATATGACCTTGAGAAAGTTACTAACCCTTTCTGAACTTCAGCTTCCTCATCCATAAAATGGGAGAAAATGTATACCTAGTAGCTAATATTGAACTATATAAAACACTTGGGCTAGAGTATTCACTCAGTAAGTTGAGCAGTATTTCATTAGTATTATACTATTTTATCACCATATTCAGATATAATTAAATGTACCAAAAGTATGCCATTATTGAAAAAAATGTAAACATTTGTTTAAAAAAATCCCATTG